CTACCCTTCCACATCACCATCCATAAAATCCTTGAAGACAATACTAAGTCTCTTCTCCCCTTTGAGCCTTTTCTGGGAGAATATACTTTGTTCTCTAGCTCCTTTTACATATAATATAATTTTTCACACCCTTCCTTTTTCTTGCTATTTTCTTTATATTGCTTGTTTCCCAGTTTCTCTTTAAAAATCTAATATCTAAAGTTTAGTCAACTACTCAGATGTGTCCTGACCAGTTAAAAGTATGATGGATTTTTTTTCTGCCAAGATTTTGAAACTTGACTTTTATTAATGTGGCCCAGGTTTACACATTGATTTTTTAATTAAATTTAGGGTTCAATGAAAACCTCAGGTCTATTTTTCAAGTGAAATATTACCAAGTTTCCAAACATTTATCATTTAACAATATCTCTTGGGCTTCTGTTATTTTGATCACTTGAGATACTTCTGAATTCTGGTTTTGCCAACCCACCCTCCCAAACTAAGGAACTTTATATTTGCTCCATATTTGATAAGCTGTTGTCAATGCCTTTATCTTAGGTTTTGATAACAAAGTTGAACAGAAGTGAGACAGAGTCAGGGCATTCTAACACCATGAGAAACCTGGAGAGCTTCTCTGTTCTCTGGTACTTTTGTTCTCCAAATGTCTTTATGGAGACACCGAGAGTGGTGGAAATCTGTTAACGTTCATTCCTCTTAGCTCTTGTTGTCACCTTTAGCAATTACCATGAGCTTAAGCTTGTGCCAGTTTTCCTCATAGGCTATAAGTACCTAACAGAGGCCTGACACAGAGTGGGCATTAAATATTTGCATCTTTGATTATTCTTATTTTCTGTTTATCTCCTGCTGTAATAAGAGATGGTATGTTGATGACTATACTAGACTTCGCCACTGCAATCCATTTGTATGTTCATACTTTAAATAAAAGTTTTCAAAATTGAACTTATTATCTTCCTTTTGATCCCTTTCTGCTTTTTGGTCATCTTGGTTTATAACCTCACATTCTCTCTGACAATCAGATTCTAACTCTTGCCATCATTTCAGACTGCTTTCTATTTCTCACATGTCCCCAGCAGCTGAATTCCTCAATTTATTTCTAAACATCTCCCAGGCTGAATCTTTACTCTTAATGTCTTTATCGTGCTCAGTTCTAAATTTCCTTTCTTTGGGATCATGGAAAAATAGCTATCTACACTGACATCTCTTTCTACTTTATTCCCCATTGCTTCTTCCTAAGGACATGCTGATAATGTCATGCTATAATCACAGCCCATAGTAATTTCCTGCTGATGCATTCCTTTCTATACTGACCCTCATGGTCCCTGTGACCTGAGTAGAACCTGCCTTTCTAGTCTCCTTGTCCACCACTCCCTCCACCTGCCTTTTATTATCTATCCTCTGCAGTACTTTCTCAGTTCTATGGCCTTCGTCATTTTTTTCTCTTCGTTGAATGACTTTTCACTCTCATAAAGGTTTCATGCAAGACACGATACTTGGTTTTAAACATGAACTTGCACAAGTGAATGTTTATTTATTTATTTTATATTTATTATGGATTGAGGCAGTATGGCATAGAGCTTGGGAGCATGACCTTCAGAATCAGACCTGATTCTACGAGGCAGAGTAACGGATTTGTAGTTCTGCCCATGGTTGAATCCAGCCCTCAGCCTGTCTGAATAGGGAACCTAATTAGAGCCCCAGGGAAGCAGTGTACCCCATTCTATATACCCACTCACAGTGGTGCTTGAGCAGAGAGTAAAGCTAGTGGTTCTCCCCATTTGCAGGACAAAATGAGTGGTCCCATCAGGCCAGGAAATGGAGTGTGCTTGCAGTGTGCAGTTGTGGTTTAAGTCCACAAACATCAGCCTTTCTGGCCTTGGGGATGTTTCTGCTGCCTCATGCATGCGCAGCTCTGCCTACAGCTGAGCGTAGTGCCCAGTTCTGACCGTTGGTGAAGCCTGACCAAAGAATCTGGACAACAGTTGATCCCATTCTACAGCTTTGCTTAAGCAGGGAGCTATGCCACCAGGCCCTTACAGCTGCTTCCAGCTAGAGCCACTCCCAGCCCATGTCAGAACCCAGGCAGAGGCCTCACTCAGAACCAGAGCCTGTGACAGCGAGCTCAGTGTCCTTTCCAAGGACAATGCCTACTGACCTTTGCAAGCCAGAGCTGAGCTGACTGGTGAAGAACTGACTCTGCCAAAGCAAGCCTGTAAAGTCGGGAAGAGGAGGCTGCTTGCTCAAAGGCACAGATATCAATGTAAGGAATCAAGGATTTGAAATCAGACTGGGTGTACTNAAGATATGGAAATGGAGTGTGCTTGCAGTGTGCAGTTGTGGTTTAAGTCCACAAACATCAGCCTTTCTGGCCTTGGGGATGTTTCTGCTGCCTCATGCAGGCACAGCTCTGCCTACAGCTGAGCGTAGTGCCCAGTTCTGACCGTTGGTGAAGCCTGACCAAAGAATCTGGACAACAGTTGATCCCATTCTACAGCTTTGCTTAAGCAGGGAGCTATGCCACCAGGCCCTTACAGCTGCTTCCAGCTAGAGCCACTCCCAGCCCATGTCAGAACCCAGGCAGAGGCCTCACTCAGAACCAGAGCCTGTGACAGCGAGCTCAGTGTCCTTTCCAAGGACAATGCCTACTGACCTTTGCAAGCCAGAGCTGAGCTGACTGGTGAAGAACTGACTCTGCCAAAGCAAGCCTGTAAAGTCGGGAAGAGGAGGCTGCTTGCTCAAAGGCACAGATATCAATGTAAGGAATCAAGGATTTGAAATCAGACTGGGTGTACTTATAATTGTGTGTGCATGAGTGCTCGGCTGTGTCTGACTCTTTGCTACCCCATGGGCTATAGTCCGCCAGGTTCCTCTGTCCAAGGGGATTATCCCAGCAAACACTGGAATGAGTTGCTATTTCCTCCTTCAGGGGATCTTCCTGACTCAGGGATCAAACCCATCTCTTGCAGCTCCTGCTTTGGCAGGCGAGTTCTTTACTACCGAGTCACCTTACCTGAGAAGCTCATTTACAGTGGTGTGAAACTGGAATTTAACAACAGGATGAAAGTTAAAAGGTTCATAAATTCATGAAAATTAGACAGCACTCTTCTGAAAAACCAGTGGATCAAAAAAAGAAATTAAAAGTGGACAGAATAAGGTATCTTGAGACAAGGGAAATTTGGAAACAAGACCTACCAAAAATTATGAAATGCAGANCTATGATGAAATAAAAAGTATTCTAATACAAGTATATCTGGTATTCAATGGGGATACAGTGTAGAGAAAATATTAACTGTAAACAGAAGAGAGCAAAGGTATTGTCCTAGCTACCAAATCCTTAGTTTCTTTATAAATTCTCACTTCTGAATCTCTGCCTTGTTCCTCTGTTCCCCATTTCTCTTTCAAAGGATTGCCTGTCACTCTGGCTCCTTTAAGATTAGAGCCATGCATTGCTCTCCCCTAAGACACTGACAAACAATTAGATAGGCTAACATAGAAAAAAAAGGAGGTAGTCAAATCAATAAAATTAAAAATGAAAGAGGAGACACTGCAACTCAGCCTGGCTCCATAGCTGGATCTGTAGCTTGGATTCTGGCTCCAAGCTAGAGGTGGAGGTCCTACCATCCCACATGCATGCAAGATATTTCCAAATATAACCTCTGGCCAGGACCTCAGACTTTTGGGACCCTTAAACATTCTGGCTTTGGTCATTTGTCAGGACCTTTAGCTTTCCCATGGACTGAAAACTTAGATACCACCACCTGCTCTAGAGGCTACTCTTCCCCTTATCTGCTCAGTAGATTTCTTGTTCTCAAGGCCTGAAGATTGATCTACTCCTAATAGCTAGTCCCATCCCAGTGGATGGATTGATGATTGATTTTAGTACTATGGTACAGTGAAAAGCAGCATGGGTTTGGGGACAAACAGATCTGTGTTTGAATGGCAGGGTACTTTATGAGTCCTGTGAAATTGGACTTCCTTTGTTTTCTATTTTTTCATCTGTCATTGATTCTCTCAACAAATATTATTAAGTGCATTGCTAAGCGCCACAGATTTCATGGTGAAATAGAAATAACATTTTCATCCATGGAGCTCATGATCTAGTGCAAGATACAGGGAAGTGAACATTGAAAATATAAAATGTACTGTGATCATAGAAGTTTGGGATATTCTTGAGAATGCAGAAGTGGGCAATTGAACCCAGACCTGAGATGGTCCGGAGAAAATGAAGACCCAGTTGAGAACTAAAGGCAGAGTAGGGATTAACTCTTAAGGGGGGAGGATTAGGTTGAGGCAGGGAGAAGATGGTCTAGGTAGAGAGAATTACTTGAATGGTGATCTGGAGACAAAAAGAAGCACAGATTTTTTAGGAACTATGTCTATGGACCCCCGCATAAAGGCAGTGGGACTAACAAGCAGGGACCTAATCATCCAGGGCTATGCCAGCTACTTGAGGGGCTTAGAATCATCTTCAGAACAAACAAAAGCCAGGAAGCATTTGAAGGAATTTAAGTAAGGGAGAGGGTCAGGTTTTTCTCTTAGAAATATTTCTCTGGTTGCAATGTAGAGAACTTTCTGAAGGCCCAAGACTAGAAACAATGAGAACATGTTATAAGTGGTTTCAGTGCTCTAGGCAAGAGATGATGGTGGTTTGAATCAGGAAAGAGGTGTGCATGCTCAGTCAGCTTGATCGTGTCTGACTCTTTGCCACCCCATGGACTGTAGCCCACCAGGTTCCTCTGTCCAGAGGATTTCCCAGGCAAGAATACTGGAGTGGGTTGCCATGTCCTCCTCCAGGGGATCTTCCCAACCTAGGGAGTGAATCCAAGTCTCTTGTGTCTCCTGCATTTAAAGGTGGATTCTTTACCACTAGTGCCACCTGGGAAGCCCTTCAGAAAGAGGTGGTGAGAAGCAAAAAAAGAGGGTGAGTTCATGGAGTCAGAATCTGAAAGAACTCAGAGAAAGTGACATTTCCATTCTTAGAGCAGTCATACCTGTAGCGGAAAATAATGATCTTGCTAATTCTTGATTATGTTCAGGCACCTCTGGAGGCCCAAGGATAACAAGTCTAAATGACCTGGAATTTTAAAAGACATAAATGCATTAGGTTGATTCAGTTCAGGACTCAGCACAGATATCAGAACTTTTATTGTAATTAGGTTGTCAATAATTGTACGTGCCACCAAGTATTAAATAAAAACTTGTGACATTAAACAATATGTGAAGAAAGTGAAAATGTCAGTCACCCAGTGTGACCTTATGGACTATAGCTTGCTAGGTTTCTCTGTCCATGGGATTTCCCCAGGTAAGAATACTGGAGTGGGTTGCCATTTCCTTCTCCAGGGCATCTTCTTGATACAGGGATCAAACCCGGGTCTACTGCATTATAAGTGGATTCATTACCCTCTGAGCCACCAGAAAAATCCATGTTAAACAATGGAGGAATACAAACTAATGGTCTACAAAGCTGGCAAAAATTAAACAGTGGACATTTAGAATTAACATGTTGTGAGCAAATACTTCTCTTATGGTATCCCTTTGTTCTAATTAATGATCAGTTTCTTTCCTTAGAATCTCTTTTGGTTAATTTGTATAAGGAACCCCCCCCCCCCCATCATCTAGCAAATAGAGTGAAGTTACATTCTTTATGTGCCCAGCATGTACTGATATTCCTTAAAATGATGGATAATATTGTAAAAAATTTCTTTTCTTTAGGTTTTTGCCCACTGGAGGAATCTGTGATGTATAGAGTGGTATAGGTATTTTCTGGTATTAATTTTTATCAGCACTCTTAAAGACAGATGGTGGCAAATTGCCTTTCCATTAGAGAGGAGCACATGATTATTTTTGCTTAAAACATTATTATCAAATAGTTTAAAAAATGAATTTTTTTTGAGGCTCTGGGACTAGAGCTAAGGTTCTTACCTCATGATTGATTAATCATGTGCATGAAGAAAGTGAATTAACTTTACATGCTGTAAAGAGTAGGACTAGTAACAATCTGTGGATCCTGAAGAGAGTGTTTATTTACAATGCATCTAACAATCATGGTCTAAGGAGGATGTGACTTATGAGTTCCTTTTTATCTTATCCTTTTAATGTTAACTGTTTAAACATTAAGTTATTCAACATGCATCATCACTATATATTTGACTGTGAGATGTACTCTTCACAGGAGAGTTTGATCAAGGTGGTTGCTTCATTGACCAAGCAAGTTACCCTGGTTGAGAACTGTGACTGCTGGTCACTGTTCCATAAGCTTAGGATACATCAGTGGACAAATGAGACTAAATTCTTCTGCTGAAGTGTAGGAAGACTGACAGTAAGAGATAATGGAGTTATTATCATGTAGTGAAAAATAGACTGACTTTGCATGGCACCAAGGAGCAGACCTTGAAACCAGTATGGGAATTAAGGTGAGTCAAGTGCTCCAGTGGATGGCAGTATGAATCAACAATCATAGCAGTCTGAGGCTAGCTGAGTGGTGTAGTGAAGAGTAACTGAGAAGTTGATAACATAGCATTTATGGCCGATATTATTTATTGAGTGCCTAACACGTGCAAGAACCTGTGACATCCATCTTATATAGTTACACAGTTCATTATTGAATCAAAAAGAGTCAACTTAATCTCTTCCCTCTGCTTTTTTCTCTCCACCTTGAGACGGTTTTCTGCAGTAGTTCAGCTCTTCATCTGTTCATTGGCTGGTGCTTGCTGCTTTCTCTACCTGTACAGTTGTCTTTGTAGTTGCTTAGTTGATGAAAGCTAAAATACTGCATTTACATTTGTCCTTTTAATTCTATTATTTTTAAGCTCCTTTAGAGGAAACTGAACCTTCACTTTCCGTTTTAACTCTCCCTCGTCCTTAGTACAGTGAATTCTTAAATGGCTACTGACTTGTGGAATGAAAGTAAGTGAAGATCAAAAGAAGAGGGAGTAATATTCCATGGTGTATATGTACCACAGCTTCCTTATCCATTCATCTGCTGATGGGCATCTAGGTTGCTTCCATGTCCTGGCTATTATAAACTAGGTATAAGGTAACATGAATGTAAATCACTCCTCTGGTTTTGCGAAGTGTCAGAGGCATTATTCCACTACATGTAGCATCTTGTTATTATGAAAACATACATACATTATGTTACACCTTGTTTAGGAGGATAGAAATCTGTCTGCTTCATTTTTCATGGTGTTAGATAATAGCCTGGCAGTGTTTCACTCTGGCATAATGCCTTCAAAAATTTAAATATTAAGTCACATAGATTTACTGAATAGCTGCATCATATATATTTAAGCTCGTAAATAGACATTACATTTCTTTCTTTCTCTGTGACTTTCCATTGTTAATAATGGAAATAATCGTCATCTTACCAATAGTTTATTCACCTTACTTTCAATACTTCCTGACCCAGTACGTAGAGTAAAAATCACTGATGGGGAGAAAATTCAAGAGTAAAAAGGAACAAAATGACGATGAAAGAGAAAGCATATCTGACATAGTTCTTCCTTTTGTGCAGTATCTCGACCGACTATACTTTCCCCTTCATTTAACTACTTTCTTAAGTTTGTTTTCTTGGGTTGATTTAAGAAAGAGATAAGGTGTTTAATTACCTATGGCTCCAGAAGTTTCTGGCTTCAGGTTAGTTCTTCATTCATTCATTCATTCATTTTTCAAGCAAGCTATCTTCCTACTTTCAGGAGAGGAAAGGGCAGGGCACTGAAAGAGGGCTTTTTCCTCTTGTACTCTGAAGGTGAAACCAAGCAGGGCCCTGTGGAATGCCCAGGAACAAACCCCTTTCTGTCTCCTATCTCTTCATTAGTGAAAAAAGCTTTAGTCTCCTAGGTCTCTCTTGAGTTCCAAAGAACAAGTTCAAGCAGTTAATCCTTTAATAAGACGGAGAAATAGGAAAAAAGAGGCCGTACAACAAAGAAAGAGATAAAAAAGCAATAAAGTCATACTGTGGATAGGGTTATAAGACCCCATTTCTTCTTGAGGAAAACAAATAACAATGTCTGACATACATTCTGAACTTGTTTATGTGGGAACTAGATCCTGACCAAATAAAAACTGCTCACTGCTCACCTCAAACATGCAGGCCCTAGCCTGATTGGAGTCAGAAGACTGATGATAAAGATTCCTGAAATAGCACCCTGCTATCTCACCACTAACCAATCATAAAATTCTTCATGAGCTAATCATGCATCCTACAGCCTTCTGTCCTTAACAGTGTCTTAAAAAAACCCATGTCTGGAAGCCATTGAGGAGTTCAGGTCTTTTGAGCATGAGCTGCCCATTCTCCTTGCTTGGCATACTGCAATAAACACTGCACTTTTCTTCAACAGTGTCAGTAGATTGGCTTTGCTGTATGTCAGATGAGCAGATCTGAGTTCAGTTTGGAAACAAGGATCTCATTATTTGTGTTATTTTAACTCCAAAGGGAAATTATTCTCTTTTCAACATGATAAACATGAATTCTAAAATTCTCTACTCAACAGATAGCTTTGGGCATTCTATCCTAATTGGAAAGTCCCCTGGGTTATTCTAGTTAGTTGATCCAAATTACAGAACAATGAATATAAACTTCCTATGACATTTCTGACAGTAGGTCCTAGGTTGCCCTTGTGTTGATGAGCCAGAAAGTGTTTCTGGAGTTTTTTTTTTTCCCCAAAACTGTTTTTAGTTAATTTAAAAGAAAGAAAAACATTTAAAGCAATAAATATATGCTGACTGGGCATCATAGCATACAACTCTAAGCCACTTAAATATTTTTCCATCACTGCCTGTACATTGGGAATGATCACTCTGCACAACCCTATGAAAAGCTATAATATACTGATTAATCAAAGTAAACAAATCAGATGTTTTTCATCTACAATAAACAGTAGAGCCATTTGCTCACTCTCCTCTGTCCATTTGATGTGTGGTTCTTGTTAGTATGTCCCTAGATGAAATAACTATCAGACCGGTTCATGAGGAACAAATCTCATGAATAAGCAGACTCAAAGTAATTTTTCAAATGCTATTTAAAATGTTTAGTTAACAAAATGGATCCATTTGAAAATAAAACAGAGAAATGTTTTGGCTTAGACTAAACAAAGACTGATGAACTTGTAAATAAATGTTACCATTTCATTGCATCTTGTCCTAAACACCCACCACCATTTTCTTCTTCATATGAATGACTACTTTGAAGATCAAATATCTTCTTTTAAAATTCAGATTGGACACTTCCTTTCCTACAATTCAGTATTTCAAAGGATGCATATAGTATTATTTTCAGGGTAGAGTAAAGCAGAAGCAAGGAACTGAAGCATTTTCTTGGCCATCATTTAGAAATAATCATAGTTATCTTCACCTCCATTTTTCACCTAACTCTTCAGAAGCTATTGTTTATTTGAATATTCATTGACAATAAGTGAATACAGATGCAGCCTGATCAGGCTGCTATAGCAAAATACCATAGACTGGGACTTAAACATAGAACAGTTATTTCTCACAATTCTAGAGAATGAGAAATCCAAGATCAAGGTATCAGCCAATTAGAATCCTGGTAAGGACCCTCTTTCTGGCTTACCGACAGCTTTCTTCTTGTATCCTCAAATGGTGGAGAGAAGGAAGAGGGGAGAGGGTGGCAGGGAACTGATGTCTCATCTTCTTATAAGGACACTAAGTCTATCAGAGGACCCCACTGTCATGACCTCATATAAACCTAAAGAAGTGAAAGTGAAGTTGCTCAGTCATGTCTGGCTCTTTGCGACCCTGTGGATGGTAGTCTACCAGTCTCCTCCGTCCATAGGGTTTTCAGGCAAGAGTACTGGAGTGGGTTGCCATTTCCTTCTCCAGGGGATCTTCCCAACCCAGGGATCGAACCTGGGTCTCCCACATTGTAGGCAGACGCTTTACCATCTGAGCCTCCAGGGAAGCCTTAATTACCTAAATATAAACTTAAATTACATTCCAAAGGCCCTACTTCCAAATACCATTTCATTAAGGGTTAAGGATTCAATTATATGAATTTTGGGGGGACACAAACATGTTATTACAACATGTTTACTGAGCACTCACTAGATGCTGAAT